CCGACGTCGCAAATCGGCATTGCGTTCTCTGTAGTCGCGTATCCTCGAATCCCGGTTAAGTACACACGAGGCGGCGAAGCGTCGCGGACTTGGTCGTTGCTTCGCCAAGAAAGAAGCTAACGGAGATTCGATTCGAAGCTCGAAGAATCGCGGGAATTTCAACACCAACTCTCGCTCTCCCGTTCGCCGACGCCGTCGCTCTCCTCGTCGCTCGGTTCCTCTCCGTACATGTCAGCCAGCTTCCGGAACCTCGGTCCAAAGTTCGACAAATAATTGAACTTGAGATCTCCGTCGTCGGTGCCTGTGGAAAGAAAGCATTCGCGGAGTTAATCGAGACCAGGCATTTCTCTGCGACCGGGGTGACTCTTTCTGTTTTTCCTTTTTGCACGTACACGAGGCCAAAGACGACAAGGAACCTTCGGAGTTGCCTTCACCCTCGTACGCGTAGTGCCTGACGTCGTCGAAGGGGTTCGTGTCTGGGTCTTTGTCGCAGCTCTCCTTCTTGCCGTCCAGGAAGCCACAAATGTCCGGTACTTCGTCGGGACCTTGAAGCGAAGAAAAAGCGGTAGAGGAGGAAGAGGAAGCGATCCGCGTTCGCGTCAACGGAATTCCAAGAAACTCTTCCTTTTTTTCTGTCCCACCTACGTACGTACGATTAGTTTAGTTTGGCTTCCCCTACTCACCACCACCTCTGCTCTGCAGGCCAACCGGTGTTATTTTCGAATCGATCGGCGGAGCGTCGTAGATAGTTCGAAGAACGTTCAAGTCGTAGCCGGTATCCACTTCGCCGCCACCTTCGTCTTCGTAATTGATGATATTTTCTCTGATGTCGTCCATATCCTTGTAGAGGTCGTCGGTTTTTCGTCTGTGCACCACCACGGCTAGCAACAGGATCAAGAGAATCGCGATGCAAACCAGGATCGCGACGATAAAGTTGGTATCGATCCCGAAAGAGACGGCCTTGGCCATTCCGTGGTCACAGCCAGGATCGGCGTTTCTCGATAACGAAGGCATTCCCAGATTGTACGTCTGAAGGAAAGCGAGGAAGAAACAGAAAGATATCGATACAGAAAGGTGTGAAACGAATTGCTAACGAATTTTCAACAAGGACGTTACATTTCCGTTGAAAGTCATGTTGCGTATGCAACCGACGAATCCTCGGTCGGTTGGCTTGTAATCCCATCCCAATTGGGAAGCTAGCTGCGCGAGGTTAGTCAGAGTACCACCAATCTGCATGGGGCTGTTCACGTTTAGGAATTCGTTCGATCCTTGTGGAGCAGTTAGGCTCATGCAAGCTGAGATACCGCAGTTGTCCACTTTCATCTCGATGGCCTGAGGGGAGAAAAGCGATGATTTTCGTCAGTCGATCGTCGATCGTCGATCGTCGATCGTCGATCGTGGAAAGAAAAATAAGCCGCTCTCACGTTTTTCGTGAAGTAGACGTCTATCCTGTGGCTCTTTCCATCGGTGAGCTTGATCTGGCGTTGATCGAGTCGCACGGTGCCCGTTCCGTAATCCATATAAAGAACCGCGTATCCCTGTTGAAGCTCCAGAGCCATAAAGTCTTGGATCGCGATCTTCGGGCTGTAGGTCATCGGACCGAAGTAAAAGACGAGACCGTTGTCGACGTGAGGCGTTATCTCGAGACCCAAATGAGAGTCGTCGCAGGCTTGGCCAGGCGGCGGCATGACGGCCCAACCGTCGCCGTAAAAGCCAATGCCGAGGAGTTCGCACCTTGGTCCCTCGAGGCCTGGCGGGCACTCGCATCTCTCGGCTAGAGGCGTGCCTCCGTTCAGGCAAACGATCGGCTCTGCCACGTGGCAGGTACACTGCGGATCCACTACAGCTCTGACGCCGACGAAGGTGCTGGTATTGGTATAGACTGGGGACGGAATGGTGCTGGCGTTCAAGTAGCTGCGACAAGTATCGTTACAGTGGAGTTTCTCGAACAGACACTCGTCGATGTTCACCAACAGGATATCCGTCTCCAATTCCCTCTCGATCTCTTTGGAATGCTGCGCGAGGATCGTGTTGAGCTTCTCGGGGGCGTAATAAGGACTGCCGTGGGCCGAGAATCGGACGTCGAGCAAGCTGTTGTTGTTGTGATGGGGAGAATGTAGCACCGTGAACACGTCCACGTTCTCGACCGACGTGTTCAGCATGTTCGCGATTCTTTCCTGGAATATCTCTTTCTTGCTGACGGCAGACTCGTCAGGTGCGACGAAATCCTCGGCGGTCATTCCGTAAAAACGGACCGAACCCGACCTGGACACCGCTTCCTCGGGTAGCTCCTTCACGGTGACGTTCACATAAGCGTCCACCTGATGCCGTGGTATGCGCACGCTGTGCTCGGTGACTAGGAACTTTAGGACGAACGTGTCGTTGGTAATACCCGGAAGCATGGTGATCATGCCTGTGGTCGAATTTAAATCGAAAGAGTCGTGCGACGAGGCCCAGGCGAAGTGTTTGTCCGGCAAGTCCCAGTCGTCGGAATCGTTCACGTACACCCTGCCGATCTCAGTTTTCGGCGCTTCACCTTTGTAATTGTAGACGAATATCGAACTCGATCCTTCGGACATCGCGTTGTCGTTCTCGTCGCCGATAATCACCGTCAGCGTGGACGTTCCGGTCATCGGTGGCTTACCGCTGTCCGTAATAGCTATGGGAATGTCGTAGCTCTTTCTCTTCTCTCTGTCGAACTGGACTCGCGCGAACAACTCGGCGTCACGGATCGTAAATTTCGCCTGGATCTCCGCGTCGGCGGTATTTTTGTCGATCTGGAAGTGAAACGGAGGTCCGTTCTCGTCCGAATCCCAGTCTCGAGCCTTCAGCTCCGTGATCTTCCCTGGAGGCTGGTTCTCCTTCCAGATCACGGGATACGGCATGTCGAGGAACGGTGCATTGTCGTTTATGTCGATCAACGTGATGTTCACCATTACCAGTTCCCGCAACGCGGTAGGAGCTCCGTCCTCGTCCCGCGCCATCACGATCATCTGAAACGGCAAACGGCCATCGCGATTCATCCTTGACCGAGAACTTGACTGGTCAAAAGGAGAAGTAGAAACTTACAGTCCACATGGAGTATCCGTTAGGTGCGTCTCTATCGAGAGGCTTCTTCAGGGTCATGCAGCCAGATTTGTTGATGCTGATCAGAGGTTGTTGATCCTCTTTCACGATGAAGTAGGCGATATGCTGATCGGCGCTCCTGTTCTTTATATCAGGGTCGTAGGCAACCACGACAGTGATGCAACCTGTAAGACGTTCGAGCTCGGTACGCTGTTCGATGGTAGGATTCTTGTCGAAGTTCTCGAATACCGGCGGATTGTCGTTAACGTTCTCGATAAAGATCTTGACCTGAGCGGTGTCGTTGTAGACGCCGTCGAACGCTCTGACGGTCAAGTTGTACTCGGTGATCTTCTCGTAATCGAGCGGCTTCTTCACGCGAATCTTTCCGGTGGTATCCTCGATGTAAAAGCTGTCGTCCGTGTTGCCGTATATGATGCTGTACGTGACCGGACTGGCAGTGTCCGAATCGAGAGCCTTGACCTCGGTGACGGGCTCGTTGATATTCGCGTTTTCGAGAATAGAGTTGGCGGTATAGACAGCCTGAGTGAAGTGAGGAGCATTGTCGTTTTTATCCGCAATTTCTATCCGAAACACTTGCTGACCCTTGTTGTGCTCGCCGGTCTTGAAGAGAGCGCTAGGAGAATTATCCACGGCGATTACCTTCACGTTGTACGTGTCTTCAACTTCTCTGTCGAAGGTGGTCAAAGTGGTGATGTTGCCGGTGTGCTTGTCGATGGCGAACAGATCCCGAAAGTTGTCCAATTCGTAAGTAACCTGAGGAGGAAAGATCGTAGGTAGGTCGTAGGTAGGTTACGATCATACATAGCCTCGATGGGCGTACCTGATTGTGAGCGGAAGTTCCGTCGGCGTCGATGGCTCGCACTTGCATCACGGGAACTCCCGATGGCTCGTTCTCGAGAACGCTACCCTTCTTCATCTCTCTGAACACCGGAATATTGTCGTTCACGTCCAGCACCTCGATGTCGATCACGGTCTCCGCAGCCAACTGGTTCTTGTTCTGCACGCGCACGATCAACGTGTACATCGTGTTGCTCTCGTAGTCGAGATGCTGGGAGAGTTTGATGTCGGCCTCGTCCTTGGTCGATTCCAGCCTAAATCTGTTCCCTTTGTTGGTTTGCTCGGTGGTGCCGGGAACCAGCTCGAACAAAAGACCGGTGTTATCACCGCTGTTCGAGACAGCTTTCAGCCGCACGATACTCGCGTCGAAGTCGCTAAAATTCTCTTGCAGTCGAATCGGTTCGGCGGGTCGTGGTAAAAACGCGGGAGCCTTCTTGTTCGACTCGACCACTCGAATATCCAAGTCGATTACGTTCGTCTTGGGATTTATACCTTGATCCTCCGCTGTTGCGGTCATGCTGAACTTGTGCTCGGGATTCCTCTGGAAAAAGAAACAACAGACGATTGGACGTGTTTCGCCTCTTCTTCCTCCCTCGTGCAGATCCGACACTCACGTCGATCGTTTTATTCAGGAATATCACACCGGTGTTGCGATCTATTCGAAAGTAGACCCCGTCTTCCGCCTTTTTCGGAGACAAGCTGTAATAGACGACGGAATTGTTGCCGTCGTCGATGTCTGTCGCGGACACTCTCATCACTTCGCGTCCCAGAGGCAAATCTTGCGGCACGGACTCGGTGTATGCCTAAAAAGCAAAATTTTTCCTTCGCTCGAAACAACGCTCCCTCTTTTCCTTCCTCCCTTTCACCTCCTTCTCTTTCTCTTTTTCTCTGTATCTTGCTACGGAAAAAACTACGCGTGCATGGTGAAAAAAGCCGCGACACGATCGGTAGGATCGCGTGGTTCGATCCAACCGTTCGATCGCGCAAGCGTTCGACTGCTAAACAGAAGAAGCAACACATGTAACGCATTCCCATTCACATTCGCATTCCCACAAGGTGAACGAAAAAGGAAACGGAAAAACGGAAAAAGAAAAACATGGAGATATATACGTGTATATATGTATATGTATGTACACCGGAAAATTCGAGACCAACCTTCCACACGTATCCACGAAAGACCTGGATTTGAGAGAAAAAAAAAAGAAAAAGAAAGAAATCGAAGCAAGAGGTGGCGGTTAGTGTAGTAGCAGAGTCGTAGATCGTAAAAGAAGGTGAGAGAAGATCGAAGAACGCTACCGCGCGTTCGTCGATGGGAGATTCGATTGGTCCGGGAAACGGTATGAGAAGAGGTATGTATCGGGGCTCGAGCACGTACCACTTTGTCGAAAACGGGGGAATTGTCGTTGACATCTTCGATGGTCACTTTGAAGGTGCACACGTCGTCTAATTGTGGCCGGCCGTTGTCGGTAGCGAGAACGGTCAGGTAGGCCTCTTTCTCTCGAGCAGGCTCGTCCCTGTCCAACACCTGAGTCGTCCTGATCAGCCCCGTTCTGTTGTTGATCTCGAACTTTAGCTTCTCGCCAGGAGCTGTTACGAAGCTGTACGTGATCGTGCCTGCGGAAGGATAAACGAAGGTAAGGCCGCGGGCCTTATCGTACACGTATCGTACGGGGATCGTAGGCGTACCTCCGTCGTCGGGATGGTCCCTATCTTCGGCGTGCACTTGAATTACCACGGTGCCCACAGGCTCTTCCTCTTTCACCACAGGCGCGTAATTCGAACAATTGGAGAAGACCGGTTTGTGATTGTGGTTTTCATCTTGCTGCATCTGCGGAAACACAAGGGAATTCTTCTCTCTTTTTCTTCACAGACCACCGATCGAAAACCACTCACCGTTAATTCCTCCTCGATCGAGAGTTGCGATCGTGCGTCCAGGTGTCTCGAATGCCTCAATCTGGTTGCATCGGCTGAAACAAAATCTCCTTTTGAGAATCTCCTTTCTATTGCAATAGCTAAGCGCGGAAGAACACGATCGCCTGAAAGCTTTCGATTTGCGCAAGAGTGCGATAAATAAAATAATCGAGAGGAAAAGACGGGCGGCGTCGACGTCGCGCTTCGCCACCAAACCGCTTAATAATTATTTCACGGACGTCGAATTTCGCTCTGTCTTCCAAGTCGTTTCCAAGTCTTTGATCGTTCCTCGATCGTTCTCTAAACGAAGTACACCGTCGGATATTCCGTCGATCAGATTCATGGAATTTCTCGGGTACATGTTATACTCCTACTAGCTGTTGTCTGAAAGGTGAAAACGATATCGATACCGTACATTATAATCGGAGCATGGGTTCAGGCCTACGGCAGAGCTTACGCTGGAGGCGAAGGAACGCGCGCGTAACCATCGGAGAATTGAAATCGTTTCGATTCGAGGACGCGTCGAAAACGCGATGAAAAGTCGCGGCTTAGTCGTGGCTTAGCGAGCTTAGAGAGAATGTAGGTGAAACGGTAGGCGATGGGTACGCTAACCACCCCTAGAAAGCTTGCTGGTCTACGCGCGCGGGGGTTAACCTACTTTCGTTCGAGTTCACCCCGACGAGGCGAGGCTTCGCAAATCGGACCACCACCACCACCACCACCACCACCACCACAAATTGTCCTCGCCGAAAGCGCGAAACGAGAACGATCCTAGCGGTTTCCTCGAAACTGATTACGCAAGGAGAAGGAGCCTTCGGGGACGACGTTTAATCTGGATCGTGGTGGTGCGACGTAGCCTGTAATCCGGTGCGATAATGCACTTGATTCGATTACCGTTGCGCTTCGATCGCGCTCAAGACAGGCTGCAACCTGATAATATCGGCCGCCTCTTTGCAATATAGAGAGTTACGAGTATACAAGTGGAGGCAGCAGCGTCCACCACGAGTTTAGCAGGTTCCCGTCGACGCGACGACGCTTTCCTGCAACGCAGCTTAATTGCTTCTGACCGAGGCGACGCGATCTCGTTCGCCCGCCGTAGGAAAACACGTCCGCTCGAATTATTCGTTCGCCTTTTCTTCTAGCGCTGCTAGCGCGAAGAAACGTCTCGATTGTTCGCGCGTCGCTCCACCGCGAGCGCAATTCCCCTTAGGATAATTGCACCGACCGTTTCATTTTCCAGATTAACAGAGTGCGCTACCAATCACTCTGCTCGACGATTCAATTTTCATTAACCAAACGCCGCGGTGGCGGCCTCTCGTTCGAAACTCTATATTCTTTACATTCGAAAGAATCGTCGAACGAGCTGCTGGTTCGTTCGTCCCCGCCTCGACATCCAACCTCCCTCCTTCCTTCCACCCTCGCCGACTCTTGACACCACGAGCGGCAAACCCTCTTCTTCTCGTCTACTTTCCAACCCTCTCCGGTTCGTTCGCGCTCAACTACGCTCTCGTTACACCGTTCCTACCTACCCTTGATTGCCAAAGAAACCAATAACGTGAAAGTCCTCCTACTCCCTCTATCATTATCCGGAAAAGTTCCGTGGACGTTCACCGTCGCCTCTCTGTCCAGTGAGAAAGGTCGAAAATCGTCGAAAATCGTCGAAAATCGTCGAAAATCGTCGGTTAAAATCGTCGGTTAAAAGAACTCGCAAAAGGTTTTTCCATCTTTCGATCACAGTCGACGCGAGAAAGGGTAAAACCGAAGGTTGACGAATCGTCGATTTTTCCACAGGCCTTCGACAATAGTACTCGAAAAGAGTTAACAGCGACAGGACCGCCGGAGCGATTTGCTCCGCGTGGCCGTTCGCATTTTTCCGGTTTATCGGGAATTCGGAAAAACGGGCCACCTGTTGCGGTGGAAAGAAATGGCGCGTCGTTTGCAACTTTCCTCCGCGTTTCCTCGCGTGCCGTGTTCCCTGAGAATTCGCACGCACGATAGCGACGAACGCAGAGAGGACTCTATCCGGTTGTTGGAGGGAATTGGTACGTTGGAACGAAGCGATTTCCATGCTGCTAATTATCTGGTGTTTCGCGAGGTCGCGCGTCACGGAATATCGCGTGGTATCGTGGCCCGCGTACAGACGCACCCTCCCTATCGACCGATATCGAACGCGTTCAAAGGCAGGCAATTGCATCAAAGAGCCCCCATTGTCGCGACGGCCAGTTTTAGCTCCACGTTGATAACGCGTCCGGTCGCTTTGGGAACGACGTCGTGCTGCACGCATCATCCCAGCCGAGTGGCTCTCTCGATCGCTCGATCGAGCTCCGACGATTCCAGATCTGTTCGCCGTATTTCTCGACAATACGTGCCCGTAATAAAATACAATACCGGGTACATATATCCCCGCTTTCCCTCTACGTGTGTTTGCTCGAGCAGGTAGAAAGAACGATGCTCGGGGGAATGTGAAATTTGCGTGGACGTGTTCGCAACGGCCGAGAAGCAGGTGAAGCGAAATCGAAGCGCGTGATAACGAACAACGGACCTTTTCGGACCAGTTTATCGCGCGAACGCCGTTCAACGATAACAGCTGCGAAAGAGTAGAAAGAGTCTCAACCGTACGATTTCAACCGTACAACCGTCGAGCAGGCCAACAGAATCGCAGACGAAAAGCTCGAAGCGCAATCGAATCTTCGATTTTCTCCATTCTACCCACTTTACGGGCAACGAACTTTCCATTCGGATTCACCGCGAAGGATTACCAGAAGGATTTAGCTTGCGCTAAGTAGCTTAGCTTGTTGATCCGTTACCCCTTCTGCTCCGACAGACACGCGTACGTTCCAAGTGTGATATTGGATTGCGATAGGTTCCTACGGATCTCGCTTCCTCGAAAATCGCTTGCCTCGAGTTCCCTAATCCGTCCTGCGCGGCGCGACGGCGGTCGTGTCTTGGCTAGTCTGGCAAGTATTTCAGGATGATCCGCGAAGAATCGCGCGCAACGATCGTAACGAATAAGCAGACGAGGAGAGCAGACAGTTGGAACGAAGAGAAAGCGACGAAGGAAGCCTCCTGCCGGGGGCATGAGGTTAAAGGGTTGGCACGCGTTTCTTGCGCGGCTAGTTATCGAGCGAGAAAACGCCTTCATTCGCGGGAATTCCTTGGCTCGTTAGAGCGAATTGCGGTTAATCCGCAAAATCGAGGCGAGAAGCGCGTGGGTCCGGTTGAACGCGATCGTATCGTGGCGAACACGTCGAGTAGCAACGACCGAGGACAGAGAAAAAACGTCCGAAGGGAAACGACAGCTTAATCCTTGTCACGAGGAGAAAAGAAAGGGTAAATCGCTCGCAACAAAGGTTTAATAACGCGGCATAGAGCATTCCTTTTGTGTTTCCCGTGCCGGTCAACATCAGCCATATTGGGGGTAACATTTTCATCAAGGTTTTACAGTCGGTCGTTGCATATTGTATTACTTTTCCTATTCCCGTTTCAAAACCGTCCGGACAACAGACAGAGAGAGATGCTATTACCCCTGCTCTCTTTGCCCAACGAGATTAAACTGTAAACGACCAGTTGTATCCAACAAAGGTGTTCCGTTTTTTTCTTTCTTTCTCTCTCTTTTCCACCATTCCTCCTCGTTGTTCAAGAATTTTAATCTCCTCCGTTGACCAACGGGAGGAAGAAGCGTGGCTGAGAGAAATTGTTTTCGAAAGCAACCGTGACGTGACGGAGGACGGTAGAATAAACTCAACCGCGATCGTTGATAATCGGATTAATCGGTCGGGATGCGATGGGACTTTGCCCGTTCGAATCGAGTGTGAATCGAAACGCCGCGTCGTCTATTCTTTCTCTAAGCTAGATCCTCTCTGGTCAGCCTGGACCGCGCAAATATTTCGAGTTTGCTCCAGTTGACCGGTGATGGAAGCCGCGGTGGCGATAGCTGTGGCTATGGCGGTGGCGGTGGCGGTGACGGTGGTCGAGCTACAAAAGGCGACCGAATGACAGGGCCGTCGCGCTCTGCTGTTCCGTGCCGAGAGTTCGCGAATATGTAATTACAGGGCACCGTGACGCGCCTCTCTCCTTCTTGGACGGGGCTCGTCCGCAGGAATAACAGCGAACGGTAAGGGTAGGCCATGTACAAATCACGCCTGCTTATCTACGCGGCGCAGTGGAGTCTCATCGAAAACAGAGAATCGCAGATTTGTCGTTGCCCATCCCGTTCCCTTGCCGTCTCGAAATTACCAAGTTTGCCCTACATGTGCTTAGTTATTACGCGAGGAAGTGAACGTTTGTCGTGACGTACGTACGGGGGAAAAGCTACAACATACCAGCAGTAACGGTGACACAAATCGCATTTTTACCAGGATGCCACGCGGCGAATCTACGGTTGGCCAGCGATGCACGTAACGAGCCTGCATCGACGTGGCACTGGCGCAGATGCGGTGCGTGTGTTTTTGTGATTTGCCAGAGGCGCAATTTCCCGCATCAACTTGCGATAATTTATGCCGGCGAAAATTCCCACGGGTGCCAGCCCGCGCGCGGTCCACTCTACCGAGACGTCAGTCGATCCGGAAAATTCTGCCGGTGTCCGATGTCCGATTCGAACTATGCGAGAAATTATGAGCCGTTACGTGCGAAAGTTGCACGATAACCCGCTAATCGAGAGTGCCTTGGTCCGGCGGCTACGATCGATCCGAGACGCGCGCGCGAATCCCACATGTTGCGAGAGGGGACGCAAGAGAGATTTGCGAACGAAATAATCGAATAATTCGACGATCCCCGTCCGGGAACGGCAGGCCTAATGGTTTTTTGTCCATGCGGACAGATTTTGCAGGAGGACGAGAGGGTGGCAACGGAATTTCATTTGGCCACGAATTTGAAGCGGAAGGGGCGCGAGAATTCAGAAGGGGACGATAAATAGGATTGTCGGAGGTAGGACAGGCGGAACAACGGGGTTGTTGCAGAAAGGACGAACCAGCTCTGGTTCGAAAAATATCGCGACTACGAGGCATCCTGTCGTCGCCAGTTTGGAAAGCATGCCAGCATGCTATTTGCCCGCATC